TTCGTCTGTCAATTTTCCGCCTCATTCGGCAATTGGCCTCCCCGCGACGCAGACGCCAACACCCGACGACCCGTCTCCCAGCACCAGCACCAGCGGTATGGTCGGCTCCGGCGATAAGGATCGCTACAAGAAACTCCGTGAGGTCGTCGAGGAGGAGTCCTCCGACTCGTCCGAAGGAACGCCTCGGCCGCAGGACTCTGCCGCCGATGTCGGCTTCTGGCTGGCGATGCGCGACGTGCTCGCCATCAACGAAGGAACTGTGGGGATGGGGATACTGGACGAGATAGCGGCGGCCTTCATCCAGGGCAGCGGTAAGGCCAGCGAGGCCTTGACAGGTCCAGTTATGATCCTGCCTTCGCCCTCGCAACAGCACGCCCGCGGAAAACCACCACAGGATCACCGCTTCGCTAGAGTCCCGCTCCCTGCGCCACAGAAGGCTAGACCGGGCTCGGGAAAGAAGAAGACGCAGGGCTCTCAAGGCACGTCGTCGCAGGGGCGCAAGGACCGGTCTTCCCCTCCCTTCGACTTACCATTCGAACTCGCCGACAGGACTCCCCCGCGGGTGCGCCGCGATCTCGAAGAGATATATCAAGAGGCCGTTTTGCTCGGGCTGGAGCCGTTCATGATGGCTTTCCCGTGGAGAGGGTCCGTCCTCTGGTACAGTCCCTTCGATTTTCCCTTAGTGCACGTAGCGCATTGGCGCTTCTGGAACCGGAACCGCGCCCGCTTCTGGGACTGGCAGCTCAATGCGCCTCTCAAGAACTCCAGCGCTCGCCGTAAGGCTAAGATGTTGGCTCTCGTGGCCCGCGTGCGCTTCCTTAGTATCTGCATCGAAACGTGGGGTTACTACGGCTTTCTTGAACTGTTCGAGAGGTGCACGAGCCGGCGTCGTTTAATGTGGATGGGCGGGCAACCAGGCCGGAACACTCCCGATGCCAAGTCGTACCGGGGGCCCGTGATCGATAGTTTGACTCGCCTATATCAGCACGACCAAAAAGGTTACGTTCGACGCATCCGGGGCGCTCTTAAGCCTTTCGGCATCGACGAGGGCGGCTTTACTACTATGACGGAGCTCTTACTCCACACGGGCGCCCTGGATCCGAACAGCGCGAAGGCAGACAGTCAGCTCTCGGATCGCGCCTTGGCTCGGGTACTTCACGACGTCAAGTCCAAGGCCAAGCACGCTTCTCATTGGGTTGGAGATCTCTCAGACGGGGTGTGGCACGCTCTTACTCACTGTCCACGTCTCAAGAAGTTGGAGGTCAAGATAGCCCGCGAACTCCGCGATGGGACGCTCAAGGCACCTAGGATCGCTCCCTTTGATTCCTCTGAAGCTGATCAGGACGGGTACGCACCGCTCGAGCGTACCAACGGAACCTTCACCGCGTCTTGGGCAGGGGTCGAGGAAGAAGACGCCGAATCGGAGGACGAAGACTCCGAGAACGAGGACGACGGACCCGACGGAGTTGACGGCAAAGACGCACGGGGCTACGAACCCAGTTCGGACGAGGGTGGGGCCGGTGACAAGCGTCCCGTCAAGCGTCTGCACTTGTCATGTTCTCCTCCTAAGTCGAAGAAATCGGCCAAGCGTTCCACGTCACGCTCTCGTTCACCACGGCGTTCGTACAAGCGGAAGAGTCGCTCGCGGTCGCGCGAGCGTTCACTTACGCCCGAGCGGCCTCCTTCCCCCAAGCGCGCAAGCGGCAAGCGCAATGCTAGCATCTCGTATTCAGAGCGATCGCGTTCGCCTACTCCTGTAAAGAAGAAGTCCCGACGCGCACTGTCGCCCAAGCGTTCTCGCCATCCGTCACAGTCTCGGTCACGATCGGCGTCTCCGGAGAAGAAGAAGTCGAGGCGCACGCTTTCTCCTAAGCGCCCGGCGCCGCAGTCCAAGTCTTCGACCAAGCGGGATTCGGCGCAGGCCATTCGACAGCGTTCGGCTTCTAAGTCTCCTCCTT